TACCCGTGACACATAGATATAACGTAATTCTTTTCGTCTCTTTTGCATCTACTTCATCATCTCATTGCTAGTGTTTAACAACGTGCGACTGGTTATAAAAATGAAGAATCTTCTTATTCTTTATTAATCTCCTCGTTTTGGGAGAGATACATACTTACTTATGTTTGCTCGAATGTCTGCACTCATAAAAATATTTTTAGTAATTTGTTATTAAAATCTTATTAAAATTTTTTTAATGAGAATTATTAAAATTTTAGTAAACCTTATCAAACTTTTAGTAAAACTTATCAAATTTTAATAAAAGTTTTTAAAATCCTACAGCGTTGTAAAACTGTTGTAGGTTTCCAAAATTGTAAGGTTTTCATACATTTTATATACTTCACCCCGAGCGGCACAAGGTGGAGGGTGGTCTCCATATGGAATCCATATGAAAGCCACCTCCACTATGTGGGAAGTAAATGGAGGGTTATTTTTTCATCCTTCATATTGATTCCATTTGGATTCCATATGAACTCCGCTTTTTCTTAAATCAAATACCGAAAAACTCGTGCTTTTGAATTTTTAAAAGACAGAGGTCAGATCTTACTGTAATGGATTGAAATATTGTCGAAAAGCTTTACTGAATCATATTGCTTCATTTCAAGCTTTAAAAAAGCAAAAAAGGATAATTTTTTGTGATTTTGTATGAAATTACATACTTCACAAGCGCATGCAGAAATCACTATTATATGGGGTCGTTTAATTTGTATGAAAATTTTTAATAATTTCTTATGTTTCTCACGCGTGTGATCGAGACTTAGAAATTGCTGTGGTTGCGACTTAATTAAATTAAGTTGTAAATTTTTCAATGGTGTTAGTGTACTTTAGTTAAGTCCACTAATACAGCTACAAATCTTGATATAAAAATTGCGAAACATAGAAAAACACGTGGAAAATCGTACCAAAAATCCTTTGAAAAATACTTCCATTAAACCTCCGTTTGACTACCACAAATGGATCCTCCATCCTCCATCAAAACCTCTCAAATGACTTCCATTTGGTGTTAATAAATGCACGTCCCACGGAGGATTTTCGGAGCTTTGGCTCCGTCAAAGTTCCATGATAGTAAGGTTTTCGGAAGATTTTCAAATGGAGGGTGGAGCATGGAGGCTCCGTATAGCTTCCATATGGAAGGCAAATGGAGCCTTTGTGCCGCTCGGGCACAAACGCTCCCAGAAATGACTTATACAAAAGAATGTCTTAGTTCTCATACAAAGTCATATAAAATTATTAATTTCTTATGAGGCACATTAAGTGCCAAAAATCATGCAAAGTCTTAAGCTTTGAGAAAGCATTTTACTTAAGACTTGAAAAAGCTCAATACTATAAATTAATTATACTATAAAGCTGTTTTTGTAAAAAAAATAATCCAAGAAATTTTAATGACTTTTTACTAAAATCCATGAACAAATTTAATAAAAATTATAAAAAAATTCATCTTAATAACTTTTTACTAAAGTTTAGTAAGAAAATTATTAAAATTTTAACGGTTTTGTAAAATTTGAATGCAATTTTGTAAAACCAAAACTTTTAATAACCCTTATCAAATTTTAGTAAAAGTTATCAAGATGTATTTTTATAAACTTTTATTAAACTTTTTCATACATTTTTAATAATATTTATTAATTTTTTTTTATGAGTGTGGTGGCTTGTTCAATGGATCATCAATTAAACCCGAAAGGAGAGAAATGCTCACTCTCTCTGTCTTACTCTCGTGTGTGAAAAATGTTCAGTTATAATAACCTCGACCGTGGACCACTGTCTTCTTCATGTTCTTACTCCTCTTTCTACCGCCCCGGATGATGGTATATTAAGAAATTATCATCGTTCATTTTCATTATTGTTAAAAATTTCATCTGCTGTGTCTTGCCCAAAAAAAGAAGAAAAATTGTTCATTTTTTTTCTGCACAATGCATCTCATTAGCATTAAAAGAGCTTTCGCTCCATGAATGGAGAAACGATAATTCAGGCAGAAAAACATTCATCATCTGCGGCATTGCTGAACTTTGCTTATATCTTCTTCCATCTCATTCTTGGATATGTATATATGTTTTTACAATGGAGCGATTAAGTATCGTTGAGTTATGCAAAAAATTTATCCAAAAATAATAATAATAATTGAAAATAAAAGAAGTAAGGGACATTAAGCGCATTATACAATGCTAAGCTATGAATATCAACTTGCGAAATTCGTGCTAGAAATCGTAAAAAGAGTCAATACATTGATACTTGTCGAATATTTCCTGATCAGGTATTATTCATTTGTTTTGTCATAATAATAGCAGACTAAGTCTTAGAGGATGTTAGTCATTCGAATGACCTATTCAGATGTTATGATACGTGAGCTATTAAATGAAAGATAAAACAAAATAAGTCAATAAATCTTCTTTTTTAAACCTATTACAATTATTTTATATCCCAATTCGAGCTTCTTCTTAATCGTTCGACTTCATTACTTCTCCTTCCACGAGACTAGCTTATACGAATGATCATCAATACAAACATTGAAAATATGTAAGAATTATATTGTACGTAAATAAGTTAACATATATGTTATACATGGCAAGCGAGCATGAGTCAATTTAAATTCAATCATTTAATGCTTACTTTTTGATGTGAGAGCAACACATTCATGCACGACTTATATTTCATTACCATTTTTTTTTTAATTCTCGTTCCTTTTTCAACCCATAATTATTACACAGAGCAATATTATGATTTTTGCCAATTGAAGGGCACATCAACAATAATAGTGGAACAGAAGTGGAATGAGTTATAAATAAAAAAAAAATTGGAAAGAAGAGATTCCGTTAACTTCTCGATTTATGTCAAATTGGAAAAATGTAATAACGAAATGAAGGCTTTGCGATGATGATTTATGTCTTAATGTTGATTTTAATCAACCTCTAGTCAAAACATCAGTTGATGTGCCTTTGCAATTTCATGAGAATAATCATTTCTGGATCTACAGAATCAAATCAATCAGAAATTGAACTCCAAAAAATAAGATCACTCTGCACCTCCTGACTATTACTTTTCAAGTCAATTCCAATCATTCCTACCTCATATATATGAATTAAACGAAGTGCTTGCTAAATGAATAGTGCAAAAATCCAATTATCACGCACATGAAACTGTACATACATACATATACGTAATGTTGCACGCGCCTCATTCAGATTTCAATTCGCGGTTTACATCAATATATCCCCAGTCAGAGAAGAAGAAATAATTATTTTTTTTGGAACCAGTATTTTTTTGTTTTTACTCATTCCAAGTTCAATTGAGTCGATCATCAACACGATGACGTGGATTTCGAACACTATTGTGCGAAAAAGAAGGAGATAAGGAGGAATGAAAATATGAGATGATGTGGAGAGACGTTAAATAGCCTGTAATTATCTTTAATTCGTTTCTTCAGCATCACTATCCCAGCATAATTTTTATAAGCAAGAGATATTCATAAAATAATTTTTTTGGGGCTGTGTCCAACAGGCGTTATCTGCAAATTACAACGAAAATGAGATCCACACACCACAGTCATTCCAAAAAAAGGGAAGAAAAGCAACGAATGCAATTTATCATAATTTTCCATTTTGCAATATATATCCTCAATGCAGCAGAGGAAGAAGAAGAAAAAGTAGAATATTAAATATCAAATAATAAAAATTTAATTTTATTGCATTGTGAGAGATAAAATTAATGATTATCATTAATGGATTCGCGTACAGATAAATATAGTTAATGTCCATGATATTTTTCTTTTCTTTCTTTTCTCGCCTAAAAACTCACTCGTTTTTTGGACTCTTCATTCATCCCAAAAAATAATAAAAGAAGAGAGCATCCACATGAATAATAACATTTTTCAATTTCTGCATCAGTATGGATGAATTATGAGTTTGCATTTGTAGCATTGGCAGATTAAGATGATTGCTGCTTTACAGGATTATCCATTTATACAATTTTTTTTTCTCTCCATCGCTTGCTTCTTCTACCTCACTCAATAAATACACTCAATCATGAGTCCATAACGTAAAATTTATACACGACATTCTCGTATATAAACGAGGAAAAAAAAAGCGAGATAAGTTACTTAATTCTAATGGAATCTCATTAAAGCATTTTACCACAAACACAGCGCTCTTATGGAACAATGATGATCACGACTCCTTACTGGATATATTAAGAGCAATATGATTTACAACATTATTCTTTGGGAGTTGAAATCTTAAATAAATCGAAAAAAATCAACAAGTTTAATTGGCTATCAATGAATTCATATAATGATCATAAATAACTCTTCCTTCTCTATATCCAATTATGAGTAACCATTGCCTCGTTGTTGCTTAGAAATTGATCATAAACTTGAAAATTTAACGATCATTTTTTGAAATTTCGCATCAATTAAAGCAAAAATTCAAATTCTACAAAACCGTTGAAAAAATTATTCATAAAATTTTGCCTCAATTAAGTTCAACTTCTACAAAAACCGTTACAACAATAAATTAACAAAGCATCACAAACAATGATAATTTATCAATTGATCTTCAGTAAAATCGCTCAGGTCATCTACTTTCAGTGACTTATCCACTTGTTGTTTCGCGCTCATTTAAAGAAGTTAAAGTCCATTTTCTATACTCATTGTACTCAATAGATTCAATAATAAATCATTTTTTTTCTCCTAGTTTTGCCAACATTCCACCTCTCACGCAAAAAATATTAAGCATAAGCATGAGTTTTTATATATAGAACTCTCGAGTTCATCGAGAACAGTAACTATTCATTCGATAAATAGGGACTTTTGTAGGAGATGTAGAGATATATGTACAAGAAAGTAAGACAGCAAAATGGAATAAAAGATGAATAAAGAAAGAGAGCTGAAGAAGCCGTGGCTTAAAGATTATGATGAGAGATTGTATTAATTTGATAAGCACTGCTAGACTATTTCTAATTTGCATATATGGAAATATAATGAAATTTATTTTCTATTCAGATACGAAAAATTATATATTTTTTTTTGTTTTTCGGCTATAGTAAAATAAGCTCCGGATGAGTCAATATAAATTATTTTTTTAATGTTTTTTCTTGCACGTTCTTTTTTATGACTCATAATTTTTCTACACACGACAGTTCAGTGTGACTTTTCCTCTTCGAATCAGTTGACTTCATTAAAGACTCTTAAGCTCTGATACTTTTCAGCTTGCGTAATCGGACGTTGATTATGTCTTGAAACATATTCACGGACATGTGCTGTTTTCGGTTTGATGGTCATATATTGATTGTTGTTAGTGCTGCATGGGGTCGTGGTCTGTAATAATATCAAGAGTGCTAATTTGTGATGGATTGAGTGCTTAATGTGATTAATTACTTGCTTACTGTTGCTCAACTTCTTCGTGTTCTGAGTATTGAGCTTGATGAACAAAATGAGTGTAAAAGATATAGATTATTAGATCGAGTTTTAAGTTCCGGGCGTAATCGTGTAAAAATTGTATATTCAAGTCATTTTCATGCTGAATTTTTACGATATTTTTGGAATTAAGTATCAAGTATCTTATAGCTTCATAAATCTTAACTTCCGGCTATAAAATGATCATAGCTGGGTTGTTTTTATCAGATAACTATTAACATACCATAAACCAATCATGCTTTAAAACAGCCTCGATTTGAATTCGCCGCTGCTGATCGGGATTTAGTAGCTTAGATATGAGATCTTTGAAACCTTAAAATTGAATGAAAAAGAAAATGATCATTAACATCAATTAAGAAGAAAAAGAAGGCATTAAGTAGTTGCTGATTTATCGATGAAAAAAATCAGCCATGATCTGATACGTACAAACCGATGTTGAGCTCATAAAATTTTGATGCTTCACTGTTCTAATTCCCATTCTCGTTTCGTCAGCAAAGAGCTCTCGACGTTGTTTCTTGCTAACGGGTTTCTTACATTGAACTTCGAAAGGCAAGCGGCCCACAACCATGGCAAACAGAACAACGCCTCTAAAAATCAGATTAAGAAATGAAATTTCTTTATTATTTCTTCTGTTCCTCATTTCATCTCACATCACGCGAAGACAAAAGGAGATGTACAGAAATTAAATAACTTACAGCGCCCAAACATCAACTTCACTGCCGTATGGCTTGCCTTCATGAATTTCGGGTGAAGTATACTCAGGTGATCCACAAATTGTCGTCAAGGGAGTCTTCTTATCCCATTCTTCACTAAGTCCAAAATCTAATAATAGCATCGATGATGAATAAGAAGGTGGATGGATTAATGTCATAAATGGAATGCTTTTGTCTGCTATTAATAATTACCTGTCAGCTTTACTATTAATTGATTTGTATCTATCAGAATATTCTCTAATTTTATATCGCGATGAATAATGCCTTTTTCGTGTATATAAGCAACTGCCGATGTAATTTGTCGAAATAAAACTCTTGCTAGAGATTCCTCTAATTTACCACGTTTGTAATTTCGTACATAATCACAAAGATTCTCAGGAATTAATTCTAATGTCAGAATAAAATTACGTCCTGTTTCATAAAGATCAAGCAGCCTTATTATGTTTGGATGGTTAAATTGTGATAAAAAGAATCCTTCTCGTCTGTAATGCTGCTTCATGTAATTATCTGTCTCAATATCGACAATCTTCAATGCACATTTCTTCTTTGTATTTTTCCCAATTGCTTCACGCACGATAGAATAATTACCCTTGCCTAAAATTCTTCCTGTAAACTGATAATGATTTAAATAACTATCCTTCCTGTCACACATCTTAAAACTTAATATTTGGATTTTTTTTAATTTCCAGATTGGATTTTGAAAAAATTTCAATTGCTAGCTTCGATTTAGGAACAAAAATGCTTGCATGATTGAATTTTTTGTAAGTTTTGTTTATTACTAGTCATTCGAAAGCATTTGAGACTCTAAAGTCTTATAGTTCAGCAACCAGATCATAAGACTGCGAATCTTGAGGTTAAGTCGATTCAAGGTTCAATTCTCATTTTGGATGCTTTTTGTTCAAAATTCAAAACTTCTAGATTCCATTTAATGTCATGCCTTAAGCATATGTTAACAGCTTATTGATGACATTGTGTTTTGATCAAGCCAGACTGTTAAATAAATTCATAAATTGCGATTATTTTTGCATGTTTTTGTGCATGAAAACTCAAAATTTTGAGACTTGTGATCAATAATTGATAATGAATAGATTAGGTACCGCCAAGAGCATAAAGCGACTCTGTTCAAGTGGTTAGACAACTGACTTAATATCTGTAATAATCTTTTATGAGAACGTGAGTTCGATTCTAATCAGAGACTGATCTCTCAATCTTTTCAATCTTCCGACATTATCGCAGCAAAAAAAGGAGTTTGGCATCCAAACAAACCAGATATCCAGCATATCCAATAATAGTCTCTTAAAATAACAAACATGTTTTATTTCAAAAATCAAAGATTCGTTACAATTAGCAATTTAACACGGAACTTCACATACATCTTGTTACTAAGCTCCGGACGAACAAAAAGCATTTATCTATTCGCATCATGACTTAACAATTCGTATTTCTATGAAGATATAACGATATAAACGATGTCTATGAATATATCAATAGAAATAACAATAACACTAATATTTTATTAAGTTTTTACCTCGAAAATAATACAATTGTTGTGTCTTATAAATTAGACTCATACGGCGAGCAGAATTGAGGAAAAGAAGTAAGAAGTATGGTATGAAAGAAGAATTTTTACGACGTGTAACAAGTACATTCTTTATTTGTCTATTTTTTTTTTTTTTGGTTTTTCTTTACACCGATTGTCCAACTGCGAAACTGTAAATTCTATATGTCAGGCATAAAACTCCATGTCAGCACAAACATTGCTCAATGTCTTCAGCTAATGACTAACTGTTTGTCGTTTCGTGGGCGCACAGTTCACAATTTTTTTTATTTCTGCTTCCATACAATGCGACACAATAGATTTTTATGACATGGTTCATTTGAAATAAAAAAAAAAATCAGAGAGACAGCTATAGAAGAAAATTGATGATGCCGTTAATTGTTTGGTGCCCTCTTCTGCTTTATATAAATATATAAAAAAATAAAATAGTCATGTAAGAAGAGAGATTTTCATTGATTGCACAGTTACAAACTGTCTTTTTAATTGCCTGAAGATAGATCGCTGTATGAGGTCTAAAGCATTTTGTTAACACAATATACCATTCGTCCATAATAAAAATCCCCATAAAGCTCGAGTGTTAAAAAAATGTTGAGCACAAAAATCACGAATTGAGCATTAAATTTCATATCACACAAAAGGAAAAATTCTTTTTTTTAAGCCATGGCATGTCTGTTCATTAAATCATATTCGAAAATTTATATATTTTTTGTGCAGGAATGATATTGAATTACCTCCAATCGACAAAAGGATGAATAAGAAGACATGAAAATCTCTTATCCTCAATATTCTTTTCTTCTTGTGGATTGAATTACTAATTTCCTTTGCTTAATATTTCTCAAAAATCATCCAGCATGATTCGCTTTATTTATGTGAATTACATTGGAGCTTCTGTGAAAAATAAGAAGATATTTGTGGGCAAACAGGTTCCTTTATCTTGTCTTATTATTTATTTATTTATTATTTTGATGGAATTCATGGGCATTATTGCTTAGGAATAGAGTGTTCTTGTAATAATAGTGCTGTTCAATGCACAGCAAATAAAGATGCTTCCTTCATATTTTATGATTACATTTTTGTTTACAAATATTCAAAATTCGAAATTTCATGATTTTCGTGAATATTCTTCTTAAATTGAAATAACTGAGGCTTCTGATTTGATCTATTAATAGCTTATAGACTGTTATTAGATATTAAGTACATCCAGTTCTTTCAAAATCATTGTTTTTGTCAATTTATTATCAAATTTTCGATCGGTAGAAAATTTGATAAATTTTGTCAATATTTGCTTGTTTCTATCAGTTTCTACATTCCTGAGTTGATCTAGTGCTAACATAAAGCACAAAGTTTAATATTTACAACATCCAGTCCATAAATAATCACATCTTTAATAACATTCTCAAACTTTTGTATATTTCTTCTCAAATTCTTATTTATTGACGATAAAAGCAAGTTTTTGGGAATTAAAACATTTCAGTAATTATTGAAGATAAAAGCTTAACATCTTTAATGATAGGTTTATTTGATTTCCAAGCACTCACTTTTCGGGTTCTCGCAACCACTCATTTCTAATCGCTTTAAACATGAAAATCAAGAGTCTGAGACTTTAGAAGTCAGTCAGAAATACCTGCTAAAAAATCTGAAGAAATCACAGACAATAAATTAAAGAAGTCGGTTAATGATGGTTCTTAAAAATCACTTTAAATTGCGGTGGATAATCATCAAAATGGCAATGACACTTAAAAAAGGATTTAGAGATGCAATCATTAAGCAGCAACTTAAACTTCTTTTTTAGCGCTCTCAACGATTAAAATTATTTTATTTGTGCCTGCAGGTGATGCCCAACTCGTTTGTTGATGAATGCACATTGAAATGGCAATAATTATGGTGTATGCGTTTAAGCAATTAATTGGTTTTGACGATGCACAGTCGTAAAAATGTTTTGTTCTCATCACAACTCTTATTTTTTTCGGCAATGTGCTCTAAATTTGTTTCTCATTTTCTCGTGTCTCGAACGATCTCTGAAAATAATTTGCATAAGATCTTAAAAAAAAGGTTTAATTCTCTTAATTAATTTATGTTCCTTCTTCTCTTCATTCTTATAGGCAATTGAATCCGTAAATTAATGACTTTATTGGCGTGTGTATGCGAGAGATGTGGAGCAAATTATTATCCAGCATGTTAAAATAAATTGTAAGTAAAGTGTCAAATTGTGTACTTCCAAAATTGTGCATCAACTGTCGTTGACCTCAAAACTCTTCGACATGTCGACGACGATGATGAAGACTACGAATAATAATAAGAAATAAATGACAATAAGATTCAGGATGTATGGATGGTTCTTGGAATTAACTTTTTAAGGCTACAAAGTCGAAAAATTTGTTTTATTTGATTCAAAATTTGAACAAAATGAAGATGAATTTTGCAGTTTCTCTCTGTTTTGTTGGCACTGGATGTTGTTTAAATCAATCTTTGATCTATAAACTAGAAATCAATCAGTTTAATGACAAACAAACTTTAAGTTTGAACATTAAAATTTAAAAAATTTCAAATATTAACAAAGATTTTGAATGTCAATTGTTAACACAAGTTTGAAATGGAGGAACTAAATTAATATTTAAGTACTTCAGTATGCTGACGAAAATTAAGAGCAATCCATAAGAACTGGATTAAAATTTATGTCTTATTGCCTATTGCGGAAGTGGTAGTAGTTTCATAATTTATCATTTAGTGACATGCGAAGCTGTCAAGTGCGGAGCAATATGTTTGTCATAATCTCTCACTCTTTTTGTACAAGAATAAAAAATAAGAAAAAATTCAGCTTGTGTTTTTTGTTGTCCTCTTTCATGATATTAAATAATAAAATAAAAAAATTAACATATGTTCGTACATTGTACCAGAATCATCATGTTGATACTTGTTTGTTATGTACGATATTATGCTTAAATGCTCTTCTCTTTGCCAGTGTGCCAGCCAACACACCAAACCAAAATTCTTCTTCTCTCTATCGAGTCAAGTCTCGCGAATATAATAAAATTAGCGATGATGAAATAATTCTTTTTACTCGCAATCAAGCTCCACTTCTTAGAAATGAACACACAGTGTATATATGAGAAATATTCTTATTTCAAATAAACAAGCTAAGACCATATTACTTATAATAATATCTCATGACAGTTCCTGATAATACATGTGTGACTCTGTAATGCTGATTTCACAATAAGAACAAAGAGTAATTCATTAAGTTTACTTATGAGATAAATATTTAGATTCTTTGTGTAATTCAATGACCGAAAATGATCTCAACTCATACTATATATCACAATTATGGATGACGACAACATGTGGCAGTACGAATACTCAATTATTGATAGGTTGGGCTCGGTTCCGCAATATTCAGTTTTTTTACACATTTTATTGTCGTAATATTGCACTGACCCGGCCGATTAATGGTTGAGAAAATCATCGAGTGGAACTAGGAATTGGAATCAACAGCATGGTGAGATCATTTGAGTATTGAATTTTGAGATTTTATTAGATAAACTTATGAGTTGGTGTTCTTATTAAGGAGGGTGATTATATAGCATGCCTGATTAGACACTAGACACTAATGTTTAGTCCATAACTTGAAGTAGACCAAGAAGGTTGACTAAAGACAAATTTTACGGAATTCCCAAACGTAGGTCTAGTTAAAAACCAGAGCTCAACTCGATACAGACTCGAGTCTAATTGGGATCTACTTGGGATAGGGTCATGAGTGAACTGATTGTATGATCATGAACAGAAGCGTATCCAACGGTGCTTTTTCGACATTTTTCTGTGATTGAACATGGATTCACTGGTTTAGTAGATTAACATCTCAACCACTAAGATATTGCTGCTTATTCAATATTCTGGATGTTAGAGGCAGAGGTCTGTTTATTGTGACATAAAATGAATCATGTGGCTTAATCTTTCTATAGACGTTTTTTGTGAATGTCAGTTATTGAAAGATCAATAGCAGTGGTGCTTAACCTTTTACCTCGTGGCACACATTCGTAACGCGTCAGATAAATTGATCACCACTGACAGTCGTTAATATTTAAAAGCTTGAACTTGCCAGTGATTAAAATCAGTTCATTGAATTTTTTATGATTTCCGATGAAATTCTGATTTACATGAACAGCCTGAAGAGTAGGAAACTTTTTATATTTCACACGTATAATTAAATCCTTTCAGTATATAATTAATTTTCAATATATTTACAGTAAAAATTCAATCATAAATCATTCATCCAATTATCTGCCTCAAGTCACAACTTCATATTTTTTTATTTTATTTGTAGCAATAAAAAGAAAAATTATGTAAATTTCCATAAATCTAAAAATGGCAAATTCATCTGAAAGAAAGTCATAAAAACTAGAGACAAACTCCCTTTTGTTGTGGTTTGATAGACAGTCAGTACAGAGGAGCTATAACATATGAAAAAGAATAAGAATTGTAAGTGCACTTAACCTTTCCAACCTCCTGCATTTCATCACATCGCATTCGTGGTATGCAAATGAGATGAAGATGGCACGAATGATACATTTTCTTTACTTTACCACATATTTGCAATTAGAAGTAACTTCTACATCACCATAATTGTATGCATTTCATTACCTTGTGATATGTTCTTTCAAATCACTTCTAAACAACACGAGTAGACTTAAAAAAAAAATATGATTATTTCGTGTTGCTGCATTGCCTTCTGAAAATATACTACTTTTTTTTAAGATGTACCGTTAGGAATCTTGGGCGAAACGCTTTCATTGTTGATGCCTTTTGTTTATGGATCATTGCAATTGCAATCGCTTCTTCGAGAAGGTTGTAGATGTACCTATATATTGGAAAATAATACAAAAGTGCATCATTGACTTGCTATAAATATATAGAATCGAGAGAAGAAGGTCAGACCGCACAATCATTATTATTATTACTATTTTAGCTTTCTACCTACGGTCAGATCATTTCTCACTGATCGAAATGTAAAACACAAAAACAAAGCAATTTTTTTTCTATGGACGGGCTTCCATTAAATCTATTAAAATAATTTTTTTCTGCGATTATAAGTCATTCCGGGATTATATCATGCATTTATGGCCTTTAATTAGATAAAAAGAGAGGAGAAGGAAATGAAAGGAATAAAGTCTTTGAAATATGATGCTAAGAGCTGTTGACTGTGGCGCTTCTTAATAAAGTTTTAAGATTTGATTTAATAATTAACGGCTTTTTACCACGTTTTTAAATTTCAAATTTCATTTTTCATGAACTGGAGATTGAAATTTGAATTTTATTTGACAGTTACAAGTTTTTTAAGCGAACATGAGTAGAATCAAGATTTAAACGTGAAGAATAAGTTACAACTGCTTCAAATATTGATAAATCAATTAAAATAAGCTTCATTTAAAGGTTTCATAATCACAAAATATTTGAAATTTCAACGGCTTTTCAAAAATTGAACAATCTTCAACATATCGAGCAGTCAAGACAAATTGAATCTCAGAATTACTTCTATACAGTCTGATCATGCTGAGATGATTCGCTTGTGCTAAAATACAAAATTGTACTGGTGCAATATGCTGAATAATAGCACAAGGCACAATTATTATATTCAATCGTCTGATTCTATTTTATAACAATTTATATATTGAATGTATATCCAATATTCGTTTTATCGTACCTTACCTTTTTTTTCTCTCCTAAGCTTAAAGAACTATGCATGTAAAGCTTCATCAAGAATTTTGTTTATGATTATTCAATAATGGATCAACGACGTTATATCCAATATTATTACTATCCCATACATATTCATAAGGGTGAGGCGCAATTGTAATGTACCGCGATAAATTGAAAGCTTTGGATTGCCATATCGTTTACGTTGTTGCCCAACAATCTGTATGGGATAATTTGTACAATATTTTATTATTGTCTTTAGACCTGACTATTATTTTAAGGTCATTTAAGGAATGCGTGCGCAAGATTATATGTCGATGTAAATTTCATCAGAACAAATGACTATTCTAATTGACAAGAAATGTTTAAGACATAATTAAATAAAATAGAAATAATGGCTATAAAATGTAAATTTCGCTGCTTCGTATCACACCCAGTTTGTTGTGTTGCGTGTGTGTGATCCATTGAAGATCATTAAATTTCGTCGTAAATTTACTTGAACAAATATTTATGTGAATTGCGTAAAGAACTTAGATTCTTTGTGCCATATTGGGGTGTGTGTTGATGTTCTCATTAAATTCATATCCTCATCACAATTTTTATGATCAGTTTGTACTTGCTGTTTTTACTATATAGTAATACAAAGTCTATCATGTATAAATATTAAAATTACGGTCATTGTTTTACATCCAAAGATTGTAAATGATGGAAGTAAATTTAAATTTAACGATGACAAGGTTTATTTTTTTCTATTTTACGATATTAATAGAAATATTCTAATCAATAAATACGATTTATGAAGACTCCAATGCAAACTGTTCATTGATCTAAAATGCAAATGTCTCTTTATTCTTCTCATTGTAAGATTTATTCATTATTTTCTGAATAGCTCGTGAGTATCTTTATGCAAAATGTTTTACGGAACTTTACTTTACATAATGGTTTCATACTTTTCTTTTTCTTGTAAGCTTGATTAAGTTATGTGATCATTGCTTGTAGATAGCATTGAAAAAGTTCTTTCTTCAGTTTTGTTTTATTTAAAATGTTAAATTTTGATTTTCTGTAATTTTAAACAAGTTTTGTTGTTTGGTTCTTCAAATTGCTTTAAATCATCAAACATTAGGCTCTCAAGCATCAAAGAAACTCAGAAGATCAAAAGACATCGCTTGATTTTATAAAATAATTTCAAATTCAACAAATTTCATTTTTGAATGTAGATTAAAGGTAGTTTAAAGGCTTGGATCTTCTAATTGCTTTAAATTATCAAAGTTTAGACTCTTAAGCATTAAAAGATTGACATTTTGACCAGTTTCTTGCTCGATTTTATTAAATAATTTCAAATTCAAAAATTTTCAATTTTGAATTTGTAATAAAGGTAGTTGAAAGGCTTGGATCTTCAAATTATTAAACATGAGACTATTAAGCATAGTAAGATCAACATTTTGACGAACTAAAAGCTAAGTTTGGTAGAAAATTCTTTAATTTTGAATTCGAAATTTTTGTAAACAAAGATTCGAAAATAAAGTCAATCTCAACAGGCAAAAGATTGAGCTACAAAGGTCTTGAGGCAAAGATACAAGTGATTAGAGAGATACTTGAAAAATCTGCCGTAACCACCATAAAATTAGACTTAATAACAGCGATAAAAATTTCTTCTCAAACTTCCTCGTATAATTCGCACATTTCATAATTCCATAGAACAATTTCCTAGAACTCGAGTGATTGCATTACGTTAATTTCAAAAATAAATTGACTTGAACTTCAACACACACAATAAGGTATAAGACATAAAGAACGATGAACACTGTAGTGCAAATTGCAATTTTGCCGTGTTGCACAAAATAGACAGCCATTGCCTTTTGTTTATTGTGCGGCAATCTTTAACTGTAAACGAATCGCTTTTGAATGAGTTTTATTTTTAAAGAAGAGATATTTCTTTCTCTCCTCATAGCTAGCTGTTGACGACCGAGAAGAATTATGACACGATGAGATCGCATGGATAGCATTATGAGTATATATATTTTTGTACGGTAGATAAATTGCTCGATTCAAATTATCGCTTACCGCGGAAATATGATTAATATTTGCTCACTTTTATCTGACTCGCTTCAATAATTTGAACTGTAAGCGAATCATAGCTGACTGCTCTTTTTACTCTTTCATTTCATTTCATTTCTTCAAAATGACACGTAAGACTTCGCGCGAGACCTAATTGCAATTTTCTCTGCCTTTTTAAAATATATCATTCATGTCATTATTTCCAAGAGAGTCTGTTTTGTTCAGTTCCCCAGCTCAAGCTTATTCATTCACTATGTCTAATTTATTGACTTAATCATGCACATGAATTGATGATTGTGGAACAACAAAAGGAACTGATTGAAAATAGATTTACTCAACAAGTTCACAAAGAATGAGTTATTGTAAATGAAAAATTGTTGGAGATGCCATACAATCTGAATCTAGAGTTTTGTCCATAAAAAGATGATTAACGACCAATAATAAGATTTTTTTTTATTTTAATTAAAATGTTTATTCAGCCCACTAATGTGTTGTCATTTGTCTTTCTAATTTCAGAGATAATGTCAGACGATCAAGGAAGACTGAAGCATAGACGTGATCTGCGATCGTTTTATTCATTCCACAAAAGTCCTGCCCCTCAAAGCATGTCAAATATTCACCGTCTTTACTTCAGATCGGTGAGTTCTCATTTCTTTTTTTTTCATTATTATTTGCATTATCAGCATTCTTAATATGCCATACATATTGCATCCACTGCCTGTAAATTTATTCACTTTTATATGTTTAAATGGGCAGAAGAGTGAGATGAGATGAAAGATCGGATTGCATCAATGGATATACATAAATTTTTGTAAAGTTATTTTAATGTGTTCCATTCAATTAAAGTTGAAACTCATTAACAACAAATCATTAAAATTGTTTCTGATAAGGAGTCGTGTAGAAATTCTCTCAATTTTCTTCATTTGGGTCTGTTCGTCAATGACTTGTTTTTAAATCTGATGTGGAAATTTTTTTTTTTTTTTTTTATTAATATTATGTTTATTATTTATTGCTCTCGTTTTTCTTTCCTTTCATACAGAGGAAAAGCCTCCTTAAACAGTACTTAAACTATTTAAAGCGGCATAAAAACCTCTGCATTAACATACAATAAAATAAAAAATAAAAGAAGTTTCAATGTAACAGTTACCTTAAAGAAACTTAAAAATTAAACATACAGATATTAACGGTCATTCTTAATTTGAAAAATATGATTTTTACTGACACAAACAAAACATTTCGTAAATATGAAAATTTGATCATCTCAGAAATAAAAGTGCAAGAAATAAATAAATAAAGTGAGTTTTTGTAATTAATTTAACATTAAGTTGTGACAAAAAGTGATAAAAGTGACAGGACAATTGGAAATGGACTTAAGTGACGCTATGAATACATCGGAATTTGATTTTTTGCATGAACTGATGTGGAAATTCAAACTTTTAACCAGAGGTCGAAGCGAGCATAGCGAAGCGAGTTTTTAGCGAGCTCGCTTCGCTAAAAATTCAACTTGTTAAAGTCGACCTGTAGCGAGAATTTTTTTTTCTTTTCGCCTTAGCGAACTATAGCGAACTCAATTTTATTTTTTTCGCTTTAGCGAACTATTAGCGAACTTAATTTTTCAAAGTTCGCTATAGCGAACTATTGGCGAACTAGAAAAATTTTTTTGGCTTCATATGAAGAGATATCTGATTGCGTTTGTGAAGTATGTAATTTCATACAAAATTGCAAAAAATTATAGTTCGCCAATAGTTCGCTATAGCGAACTTTGAAAAATTAAGTTCGCTAATAGTTCGCTAAAGCGAAAAAAATAAAATTGAGTTCGCTATGGTTCGCTAAGGCGAATAGAAAAAATTTTTTCTCGCTACAGTTCGACTTTGGCAAGTTGAATTTTTAGCGAAGCGAACTTGGCGAACCAAGTTCGCTTCGACCTCTGCTTTTAACTGTCGTTTTTTGAAAATTCTTGTTTTGATTAACGTGAAGTTAGCTTCTGATATGTAAATTTAAATTTTTAACGGACTTTTCAAGATTAAGTGATTCAAAATCAAAGTCACTGGCGTACGACTTCCTCTTAACATTAAAGATGTGATAACGAGAGCAAAGATGGAGTGAAAAAATGCAATTTTAAACACATGCCGGTGTGCCTCACCATCATCATCGTAAATTTGGTTCTGAAAACAAAAAAAAAATTTATTTATGATTAAAGCAAAAAATATTAAAAAAGGATTTGCAGCTGCCAAATTTGAAAAGAAATCTTAGATTTAAAATTTATCCATTCATGTATAAAAGAGTTGTCAAATGGTGGTTGGAAATTTGATATTTATCGAACTGAAGAGCCCAGAAAGTGCTTTTAATGGTGCTATAAAAGAATATATTTTTTTAATTCCCTTGGTCATTGTTGGTTCATGCAGGAAGTTAAGACCGTATAGTTTTTCATGCTTTCGAAGTAGATTTTTATGGTCCGCAAATTACGTTAAAATTCTTCTTTCCTCTTTCTTTTTTTTCGGGTACAAAAAAATTATTTTAAATTGAGTCACTCTGCTATATAAAATAATAAATTTATTGACAATGTTCAATGATCTTAACGGTCTTTCCGTTTTTCGCAATTGATGCAATAAAAAACATCGCGTAATATTTTTCGGTAATTGTCAACATAACAATGCTACTCACCATCCATATTTGGTCTTCATGATGATGGGAAATTCTTGATAGAAATTGACTCAATGGATGAAAATTAAATTTTTGCTGTGGAATGAGAAAAATTAATTTAATGATTGTGGAATTTTATGAACACGACAGGCAGCAAATGGTAGAAGAATGAGGCACTAATGGAGTCGATCGTCAGTGGTGACTTTGCTCCATATTTTGGAATTGATTTTAATTAAGATTTTCTGTATTGGATTTTCCGTTAAAAATTTGAAATTTTATAAAAGTGAAGCTAACTTCAAGTTATAGTTATTTTTTAAAGTTTTTAATGAATTTTCACTAAGAAGAAGTATTAAGCTATTAAATTGATGTCAGCATTATTTTGCTATGCTATAAAATGATTCATAAATAAGAAAAAGCCACAAAACGCTTTAATTAAGTTAAAACTTAGAAAATAATGTTCGAAGTGATGAAAGAATTTTGAAAATTCATTCAATTGTTGAACTTTCCATCATGTTCCCTACTAGTCCATCGATTGAATCTTTCGATGTCAAAATGCTCTCATTTCGACTCATTTCTATTGAATGATTTACTTTTTATAAACTTGCATGACAGGAATATCAAATGACCCAACAATTAAATCCATCATCCATTTACTGCTTCTGATGTTGCTCTTCACGAAAAAAATAAAAAAAAATATATCTCATGACAATGATGATGATGATGATGTGTTTGAAATATCGCGCACAAAAATTTTTTTGGCCTTGAAAAATTATTTTTTGAGAATCTGTCGAAAGGAAAAAGAAAAGACAAAATTGTTGATGAATTACATAAAGGAACAAAAATTAAAAAAAAAAGTTTGCAGCAAGAAAAAAAATATTGCGTCTATCAAATGCTGAAGAATGCGAGCAGAGACGCTTTTTTGTATGATTTCCGCAAAACGAGTTTTTTTTTCTCTCCTTTCCTCCATCTCAATAGCTTGAGATTCTTTCGTGTGTGCCGCATGGATGGCAGGAGGAAGAAGGGAATGAAAAGATATCGCAGACAGATTATTATATCAGATTGGCAATGTTATATGGGCGAGTGAATGATTAATAAATCAAAATATCATGTCGAGAAGCGATTTTCAGTGAGATCGTTTCCGCGAAGGTTTTCATCCATGCATCGAGACATCCAGAATCGATTCTATTGAATATTTATGAGATATACTCAAATATGAAGAAATCAGTCATGATAAACTGATCAATTTATTCTGTTGGATGTGAAACAATTAGCCATGCTAATAATTGATAGCCAGAAGTAACTTGTCGTGTTCCTCATCATGCAAAATTGCCCCCAAAAATAAGTCCATATTTTCTGGCAAATTATGAATGTCCATTAGGAATTCATTAATGCAAATTTTCTTAATTTTTATTCCTTCCTTAATGTTCTCTCTCTTGTCGCTTTTTGCTTCTTCCACTCACCGCATTACCGTAATCTAAAAACCGTGTGAACATAATACTTACGGACATGCCTTTTGCTTGCACTTTTGTTAGTGCAATTCAGATGAAAAAATAGGCATTTACTAATGCTTAATTCTTTCCTACATTCACATCTCTTCTTTTTCCTTTAAATTGAATAATTTATGACATATAAAATTAATTAAGTGCATACATAGGTACAGAATGTTTGTTGTGCTTATTCAAATTGTGTTTATGGTAAAGTCCATAACTTATCTTTTACATTCATCGTCGCTCGTCTTAAGACATATTGCTTCCAGCTACCAATTCAAATGTAATTTCTTTCATCTTTTTTTGTGTCTTCTCATTTAACTCTGTTGCTTGATGTTGCTCTTTTTATTAACTATTAATTGCTGTATTTGCTTGCATAAATTATCAGCATGTAAAATAGTAAGTGCTATAAAGCGACATAAATGAATAATTATCATTTGAGCAGACAAATGAAAAGTATAAAACCGTAGGTAGATCATTGTGTGGCTGAATGATCAAAGCGAATTGCTTTTCAGCGACAATTATCCATAAGAACTTTTTATTACAATATTATTCATTTTAACGGCTTTTTTAAGTTTTTTATTTTACATATCAAGTTCAAAACTTTAAACTGCACCAATTCAAATTCATAAAATCCGTTAAAAATTTACAAATCAATTTCCTAGTAATTTCAAGTACATTGAACTTTCCAATCAAGACAAATCGAGTGCACGAACTCATTCTCTTTGTAAAAATTGCAATGAAATGAAAAAAATAAAAAATCTTCAACTAAGTATAGGAATGGAACTGCAATTAAAATTGAATGAATGTTTACAAATACAATGATTCAGCTTATGCCATTAAAATTGAAATTTAATTGCTTAGCTAAACAAGAATCAACTTTAATTTATTTAAATGACGATGAATAGAAAGAGGAATCTCTCTCATTGTCTGTTTATGGAAATTGGTCGAAGGTCTGATTTTATGCATTGTCATATGTGATTGTTGTTGCTGGACAGTTGTTAAAATGACGGAAATAATTGTATAAATAAGATGTGCCGTTAATAAGAAATTTCATGCCTAAAAATTTTCACTCTTTGCATATTGAGCAAGTGCTCGAAAACCTCACAAATGTTTTGGGGTTTTCGTCCACATCTTATGACTTTATGTTTGCTTATGGAAATTAAATACTTTAATTATTATCATTATTATTGTAAATATTTTGTTTCCGTCTAAATCTCTTCAAATTAAATTTTCTTTAGAATCGTTGTGTGGGTGCCCTTCCATGCTCCATTCAATTTCTGCACATTCCATCACGTTTTATGTTACAATTCTTTCATGATTCATGATGAAAATGCACAAAGTGTCAAATTTAAAGAAGAATGTGATCATCATCATTCAATATACCGTAAACATTTTCATAGGTTTTATGAATAAATCATCTTTGAGTCTGCAAAAGAAATCCAATAATCGTACATATTTACGTGGAACTAACAAAAGACTAAGACTTTGAGAAAAGCTTTAGAATGAAAGAAAACGTTAATTGAGAAAAATTTCAATTATGATTTTTTTTAAAGAGGAAATTCAATGTGCTTAGTTACAGAAAGATCTCTTTATGGCCATTGAAGACAGACACAATGAAAATTAAATATTGACGCATATTTAACTGTCTTTTGCACAGTTTCAATTAGAGATTAAGGCAAATATACACAATTTTGAGAAGCAACGGCAATTTTTCATAGCATTCGTTTCGATTTGTACATTCAGAATAAAGAAGGAGACGTTAAATAGCGCGGACAATTCTTAAACTTTTAATATGTGACTTTTTAATATTGAGTGAATACATTAACTTCTTTTTATTGCAATCATTAGTACAAATAAGTGAGGTAATTCGTTGGATGTTTTTTTTTCACTCAAATTTGAGCTTTATTAAGCATTTTTTGTGATGATGAAAAACTTGAAATTTATAACGGGTTTTTGTAATTTTGAAATTTGTTTGCTGAATCCTGCTGAATTGTAGTTTTTGAATTTTTTAAACCCGTTGATTCAAATTCAAAAAAATGGTTAAATTTTATCAAAATTCAATTAGCAAAATTGATAATAAATGCGTTCAAACAGTCATGCGTAGACTTCTCTTGCACTAACAGGAAATATTCTGACACTTAAAACCTTTACGCGGTTTTGGTTAAGCAACAAGAAAAAAACTTTAATTCATTGTAAGTGTTTTTTAACACACTTTTTATCTTGATTGATGTCCATTCTTAATTAAATTAATATCATGATACTTTTTAGAGAACATGGTGTAATTTTAATGACTGCAATATTTCATTTTTTTTTGTTTTATAAACTTTTTTACAACATTTCTTTTTGGTTTCTATAAAATTAAGGTATGATATTACATCATAACGGTTTATTTAAAATTTAAATCCGTGTTCATTTTGCAGAAGTAAATCCATGATAATTAAGAGGCATTCCCTTTAAATGAGAAATAAAACTGATAATTTTAATTAATTTGTTTCAATTTAAAATCGCAAAAGATTCGTCGTTGCAGCTTAAATGTCTGTAAATGAAGGTATTTATTAAATTCAGAATTGAAAAACGTTTGCCGATAAAATTACAATAAAAAATTTGAATTTAAATTGACCGTTATGGCACCAAATTGATTTAAATTAAAATCAATTCAATTTTGTCGATCATAAAATCATTTATATCTTTATATTCCAGCAATAACATCATGTAAAAATCTTGTATGTGGATATCATGTAGATCAATAACATCGAAATGCTAATAAAAATGTAAATAAAATATAAAATAAAAAATGCAAATGGATATTTAAGCAGTAAATGTTCACTTGATGATTTTCAAGTTCAAATGTTCTTGTTTCTCATATATTTTTTTCGGTGATCGTCGGCACACACTGTCATAAAAAAATTTATAGTGGCCATCGAACTTCCATTGATCGATATAGACGGAAAGAATAATTTTTTGTTTTTGGGCATTTAATTAAACAGAGTTTACAATAGTCTCTAAAATTTTAATTGTAATTCACTTACCTACATTAATGCTTGCTAGTCACTATTTTCTTCTTTTCAATTTACATGTAAGTTTAATGTCATTGAGTCGGATTTTCTCTCTTAGTTATGTAAAAAAAGCAGCATCATAAATTATAAAAATATCTCCATACATTTTATGAAAATGTGAATAGAAAAAAATTTTAGTCTATTTTTATGGCACTGCCAAACAGAAAATTGAGCATTTATGACGTAAATTAAATAATTAAAACTGATTTTTGATGAGATGATTTTTTAATGCACAGGTTCGTTCACTTATGATGTCGATGATTCTAGATATAGGGAGGGGGGGGGGGGTGTTGTGAGTTAATGCTTTAAATGAAGTTATACAAACCATGGACCACCTGTAATGGGAAATGGGTATGAGAAATATATGACGTCATTTATAAGCGACCCGGATGTAGATAATAGTGTTTATAAAGCTCTGGAATTAAACATAATTATTGAATAAACCCATTTTTCTGGCAATCTTAAATTTTGCAATTTAAAATAAGAAAAGAGGGAGGGGGTTCAAAAAATCTAATTTTTTACGCTACGTAACAAGTGAACGACCCCAAATCAAACTTAATCAAAATCAATATTTGCACTTTAGGCAAATGCTCTTCTCTTTTGTAATTGTCCATAAAATTAAGAAAATTAAAATCAAAAAATCTCAATAGAGCAGTTACTGTCCACACATATGTCAATAATTTATCTCGCCTGCATACTTAATGCGTTAGAGTTAGTCATGAAATAACAAAAAAAATTGATAAATTAATTATTGATTTTCAACTGACATGTCTAGTTAAAGCAAAACGACACAAATTAATTGACATTTAATTTTAATTTAATTATGGACTTTAAAATAAATTAAAAAAAGAAATTAATTCAATTTATTGAGAACGATAGTTAATGGCTAAATATAGCGAAAATGTCATTCAGCATGTAAATATTGGCAAATGCAAATGCTCAGACGGGAGAGAATTAACGGTAAAATTTATGAAATGAAGCAATATAATTTTATATATTTTGGCTCATAAAACAAAAATCGATTTTTCCATTTTGTGTGTGCTTTTTACGTTTTTAAAATATAAAAAAAGTCATTAAGTTTGGCACTGTATAGATATTTTTTAACATATACAACAAGAGTTTCTCATACAGATAGTTTTCTGTTGCAAAGCATGTTCATTTAATTTTTTTAAAAGCATAAAAACTTTTTGTTGTTAGAATCCTCACTCTGAAATCAAAATACAGCATTTTATGAACAACCGAAAGCATTGTCTATTATCTACACATGTGAGGAGTACGAGAGAGAGAGAGAGAGAGAGAGAATAAGAGAGTATGAGAGCTTTTATCTAATCACAACAAAGATATTCGCTAATCGTCTTAAATTGTTTTGTGTTTCTTTTGAACTGTGCACAGATTTGATTTTTTTTTTCTAAAACAAAAAGCTGCTTAATTTTGAAATATTTAAACATCTTTGAATTTGGACATTTAAATACTGAATTGTGCTGAATACATCTGAATTGCGCTGAATACAGTATAATGTTGCTGAGTTTAACTTAATGTTGCTGAATTTCGATGAATTGAACTGAATTGAGCCAAATCCAATTACATGTTGCTGAATTCAATTGAATTTCGCTGAATTAAGACGAATCTTATTAAATGTTGCTGAATTCAACTCAATGATGCTCAATGTGCATAATTTTTATCAGTATTTTTGAATTCGGTTAAAAAGCGCTGAATTAAGAATTATTTGGTGCTGAATTCAGTTGAATAGTATTTAATAGTGCTGATTGGTGCTAAATTCAACAGAATGTTTTTAAATTTAAAATAACAATTAACGTTATTTAACGATAATATCTAGATTGAATGAATATATATTGATTAGTAATTTTAACAATTATTATAATAGTAATGATGAAAATAATTCCGTCTCTGCACACCCATTAATAATAAATTCAAAATCCCATTTATTTATAAAGAAAAAAAAATCTTAAAATAAGTAAGAAAGAAATAAAAAAAAATTGAATTGAATAATAAAAGAGGAAAAAAAATTAATTGTAATATTGTATAAGCTAAAATATGCAATACAATTGAAACTATCACGACTACAATTGAGATTTTCGTTTGCTTTTAAAAAAGAAATATTAAAATACATAAACCTTAGTTTAAATAAGTCAGTATTCTCGTAAAAAATTTTTAAATCCAAAATGTACAAGCACCGAGTGAGTGAATAAGAGAGAATGGAAAGGAAGCGTATAATAAAAACCCAAAAAACAATATAAAAGAAAAGTTTTAAAAATTATTTTTATATTTTTTGCCCTATACTCATTTCCCAAATACACAAATACACACACATGCGCATAAGCGATCTAGCATTAATGTTCGGTTATTTTTTTTCGAAAAAAAAAATTATTAAAATTTAAGAGACGAGAAGCAGCAACATATCAGTATTAGTCATATTTAGAATTTTGTGAAGAACGAGTAATAATTTAAATAATAAAATAATGAATGACGACGAAGAGAAAACGAAGACTGATTACTAGTCGCACTTCAAGACCCCTCTAATACAGCATACATCTGCTTTATTTTAAATAATAAAAATAAAATTAAAAAAATTATTTAAAAAAAATCTAAAATTTTTAAGAGAGAGAACCTGAATACAGCACAAACAAAATAGTCTCGTAATAAAACAGAACAGAAGAGAATAAGAAACCAGCATAATCACCTTTAAAATTCATAATTTTTAATGGCATGAACGAAAAATACGAATAATACACAAATAATAAAGAATATTATATATACATACAATTTTTTTTTGGTTTTGGGAAGAGATAGAGAGAGAGAGACGAGACAAGAGCCGAGAAAGAAACCATAAAATAACTTGAGAATTCTACCAATACATGTAAAGCGATTTAATATACCGGACGGAGAGCTATAAAATAAAAGTTAAATATAAAAATAAATAAAATCCATTAACATTCGTTTATTTTACTCGAGAAAATGTTTTTTGTATTAGTGAGAGTGAGTGAGTGAATAGGAGAGAAAGAATAATAATAATTGTATTGAAAAATCCGAAGTCTCGATTTTTAAGACATTTTCTACAGAATATTAAAAAACTTTGTATGAAATAGTCGTGTTTTTAAGTTTAACGCAGAAGAGAGAAAAGATTTTTTATACATTTATTCACTTTAATTTAGTATAGGCAGCGTACATATCTAGAACACTTAAAAAAAGAAAGAAGTAAGATATTGGTAATATTGTTAGTGCTGTCAGTGAGTTACCCACGTTGTTGTGACATTTAACATAATTTTCAATCATCACCGAGCTGTGTGTACATTATACTACATGCTGATTACTCCTCTCTCACTCATGCAGTCAAAATATAGACATTACTTTTGACAGTCGAGCCATTTGCTGAACAATAAGAAGCTGCACACAACAAACAAAAATTAACAAAAAAATATATATAAAAACTGATCAAATTAATTAAAATTAAGTGAATGAGAATTTTATCAAAGTGGATACCATAATACTAAATTTTATGAACGAAATACAGCAACAACAACAATACTACAATATGGTTAATACTAGCAAGATGGGTGATTTGGATATCAATCTGATCACATTATATGCTCGTACACCGGCTTTATATGATAAAAGAAATCCATTCTACAAAGATAAACAGTATTCGGAGAGAGCATGGAATGATATTTCGATGAAATTAGGATATAAAGGTATGAACATGTGAATCATTTCATTCTCAGGGTGCGGAAATCTCCTGCTTATTATTTCTATAACTCTCGTAGATTCTTAATTTGTTTTAATTTTAGAAAATATCCAATTGTAAACAAACAATCTTAATTTTAAAATCAATTCAGCTGATGACAAATTTGTAAACAAACACTTTTCCAAATTCATTTCTGATAAGTTTTGGTAAACATTTCCATTATTCTGCATATTACGAATCATTGAATACATTTATGCTTATTGCATCCATTAAGTGATATGAAATTTTAATAGAACTCTTAAATGTAAACAAACATGATTTTTAAGATATAATGCACAATTTAACCAGTTTCAAACTTATTATTCAGTTCCTACATTTCCGCACCCTGAGTCTTGACTTCAACACAACTTACTTTTCATCTAAAATGTCAATACATCATAAATGAAAATTTTCAGTTGAAATTCTCAAAGATCGAATGCTACAGCTAAGGAATCGATATAATCTCGAGAAGCGAAAGATTGAAGGAACGAGAACAGAGACAAGTCCTAATCCCAAATCATCGTGGCCTTTGTACAAATATTTGTTATTTTTTGATGGTCACATAAAGCAAAGACGCTCGTATAAGATGCTTAAAAAGATCCAAGACGCTGAAGCAGACAAAGCTCGGTCCGATCATCGAGGCGAGACGTCAAGTCAAGCTAATTCTTCCGCAAATGAAAGCTTCCATGGTGACATTTCGATGTTGTCCAAACTGATTAGGGATCGATCGGAGTCACTAAATACAGAAATTAAGAATGAAGAAGATTCGGATCTCGACATGGTTGAAGCCATTCCAATACTCAATGAAAATTCTTCAGATAATCAAATGTAAGGAAGTCTCTTTTTGTGTACTTTACTTGATATTTGCTTTATCATGAAGCAGAAGGAAAGAAAAAAAAAACACATGAAAGTGTGGTTGCCTGAAGTGTGTTTTGTCTGCAATTTGTTTACAAAGTAAATTGTATCGTCCATAAATATTTAAACGGTTAATTTAAATTCAAAAATATTCTAGAATTTCCGTTAATAATTCAAATATTGAATCACCGTTAAATGAATTTCCAAAACACCTCAGGCAATCTATCTAATTTCATTTAATCCTTTGCGATAGAAGCAAGGATGCAATGTTTATCTCCTTGTACCTGACGTTTGACATCTTTCCAGATTCAATTATAATAACGCCAATGGTGCCAAAAACGGTAACGATGCATGCTCCACATCAAGTTATAAAATGACAAATTCCGTTGATAATAATTCAAATGGTCCGCCACAAATGACCATGATTCCACAGCATCCGTATGCTGCAACTACCTCCACACCATTTGATGGGTTCTCAAGTTTGGATAAGAAATTTAATAAATATAATGCATTCGGACAGTTTATAGCAGCATCACTAGCAGACTTATCGGACGAGAAAGCTACAGATGTTATGCAACGGATAACTATGGAAATATTTGCAGCCCAACGAGATCTAAATTAATAAAAAAAAATAAAAATAAAATTTTATAAAAAAAATTCTCATCGATTTATAAAATACATTTCTCCTTTCTTTAGCAAGCTATTCTCTCCTACAATTCTCTCCCTTGATTCAATTCTTTTTTTATTGCCAAACGAACAAATATTAAAGGAATAATAATAACATCAATAATAGCTCGAAACAGAAATTATTTCATTAATTATTATTGATTTAGCATTTAAAAATTTTCTAGACATGATTCACAATTTCATTCACATTTATAAGTTGTTCTACACACACAAGCTAAACGAGCTTATTCGAGAACAAAAAAACGATTATTTTTAAAAGTTAAATTATATACAAATTTTATTTCATTTCTTATAATTTAATTGAAATGTTATTGACTAGCAGAACACTACTAGCATACTAGTTTTTCCGGACATAAAGTCAACACACAATACAACACAAAAGAGAATATGAGTAAAAGTAAAGTTAAGAAAAAAAATGAAATGTATTTCTATAATTAACAAATATTCATATTATTATTACATGCTATACAGTATATCCATACATATTGTAGAGAGAATGAAAAAATGATTATTAAAAGTATGTTAATTTTAGGTAGAATGATTTAAGTCTTATTTCTTCTTTTCTTTTTGTTGTTTAACAGAAGTTACACAAAAGTATATAAAAATATGACCCGAGGTGCTCATGGCTTTTCATGAAATATCACATGGTCCAGGTTATTGATCCCGTAAAGCTTTTTTTGGCAATTTGGTCGAAATCAATGTTTATCAATAGTTAAGTAGATAACTTCTATTTCTGCTGAATTCAGCACAATTATTGTTCAATTCAGCTGCTTTTTGCAAAATAATTGTTGATCTAAGCTGAATTCAGCAAATAAGATAGATTTCAGCTATGCTGAGTTAAGTGAACATTTAGCTTAATTCTGTTAAAAATTCAGCGCTGAATGAGCTGAATTAAACAATATTGACAATATTCAAATTTTACTTTTCCGTTATTTTCAAAAAAGTCTTAAAAAGCTTAAATAATCTCATAAAAGCACCGAAGGGGCCGCAAAAAATTCCCACCATTCTGATTTTCATGCAAAATTCCAAAACTCGGGCACATGTTCCTGTATAGGTACTTCAAAAATACAGAAAATTTATGAAAACATGAAAAAAGTTTTATTAAGAATGAGAGAAATTTTAGTAAGAATAAACAATAAAAATGCTGATAAAAATATCGATAAGAAATTAACTTTTATTTTTTTTTCTTTTCTTTCTTTACAATCTTTTATTAGAATCTTTATCAGTAATGGAACTACGTAGAATACAAATACATTTAAAATACCATTTTAATTATTAATGTATGAAAAAGAACTACAATGTTGATGGAATCCAATTATAAAAATATTTTTTAATTAAATAATTTTTTTTAAAAAAAGTTCTCTGTTGCAGTTCGATATGTGTACATGCTGGTATGTATTTGCTACATATATCTTCACATGTGTGTGTCTATGTACAATAGAGAACATAAATTAAAGTAATTACTTCATTTCTATTCTCTTTAAAGTGAATTTTTATTGTGGAGGAAGGGGTAGAGGCTGAGAAGTTTTGTGGTTGAAAAACTTTGGCTGAAGATACCCAATCTGTGGATTCTTACTCATCTAAAGGGAGAAGTTTGAATTTTAAATAAATTATTAAGAACCAAACGATTTTTAAAAATTCAAATTTTAACGGCTTTCAAAAATTCAAATGTTAACGGATTTATAAAATTCAAATTATTTTTTCTTTCAAAAAATTTAAAATAGTTAAAATTTAAAAACCTATCAACGAGTGCTTGTTACAATATACTATGTTATGCCACAATCTCAGAATAATATATTTACATTAAAACATTCACTTTAAATTATGAGCAGCTCCTCCCTCGTGATTGATGTATGACATCGAGACATATTGTAATGCGACATAATATCAATGAGATACAACAAAGAATAAAAATAAGAATTTTCATCGTTTTACATTAAGCAATATTTACGCACTCTCCAAAAAAAAAGTTTTTATATTTGTCTCTGACTTCGTCTCTTTTTCTTCATTAAATTCATTGAATTCTCGATGATGATGATGTATCTTTTTAAAATATATTTCTTTTGCATTTTAAAGATTGAATATGAAGGAGAAAGATGAAAAAAATGTAAATGAAAAGAGAAAAGAAAAACTAATACATCAAAAATATAGTATGGAAAGGTATGAAAAAGAAGTAAGGAACATTGATGAAAAGAAGTAAAACAAAGTTCTGATATTCCTCATAACTCATATTTCTTTCTTATTCTCTAACATCTACTATTAAACAAACGACTTAAAGACTAATTTTATCGAAATTGTTGCAGTTTTTGGGTTTTTATGGCGCATTAATTTATTTTGAAATTTTAATGGCTTTTAAAAATTCGAATTTTACCGACCATCAAAAATTCAAATCTTAAGGGCTTCTGAAAATTCAAATTTTAACGACATTCAAAAATTCAAATTTCTTAGTATTAAAATGAAAAAAAAAATTAAAATCGCTCGTTACAGCACAAAGTCAAAGTGTGTTAAAAAGAACACAACTACACAAAAAGACGCTTAAAATTCTTTCATATTTTGTGTTACAAAGCTTTACTTAAAAAAATAATCGCTTTTATTTTTGTTATTTTACTGTCGATGTTTTACATTGATTCCAACATTGTATAACATTTTAAGCGAAGAAAAAATGAGTTTACAGTCTAGTTTTTATTTTATTTTTTTTTCCTCTTTCTACTTTTAAAACAAATTATTGAAAAAGATTGTAAACTAAAATGCTTGTGACAAAAGTTGGATGAGGAAATGCCAACAAACTCGAATGGTTTTTTATCATAAAAACGAAATGCTGCCATTTTAATGGCATTTGTTAAGTTATCGTAAAAAGATTCTGTTTTTTAGTCGAACGTATTAAATAAAATCATAAAAAAATATTATAAGCAGTGGAAATTCAACAATCGGACCAAATAAATAAATATTTGAGTGAAAAGAGTGAGAGAAAAGATTTTTAAATTAATTTTAATGAAATGCTTTTTGAGCTTCTCATCATCACATCTCAAAAGTATCGGTATGTATCTCTCTTCTCTACAGCTAATATGCTCTCACATTTTAGCACTTCGGCTTTTTTTTTTTATTCTTCGGACTTTTTGTATAAATCTATAACAAATGTGTACTTTCAAATAAATTTTTCTTTTCTTTTTCTCCTTTCAACTTTCGAGATAAAAAAGCAAATAGATGTTTTTTTTTTCTATCTTAAATAAAAAATATGAACGAGAAACAAATTTGTATTAGTTTATTGAATAACTTAATAAGAGATATATGTATGATAATTCTACGGTACGAATATTTTACTTGAATACATTCGTAGTAAGAAGACAAAAGTAGCAAAGTCATCCGAACTAGATTTGAATATAAATTCCTTCATTAATTTATAATTTTTGTCTTCTTTGAAATTCTAACGGTTTATAAAAATTTGAATTTTTAAAGGTTGGAAATTTTATTCACCTCGAAAAGTATTTTTGGAATATTTTATTAATCTCAACTTGATTCGTGTTTTAAATCCTGCGAACTTGTTTGAAAAAGTGGCAAGAACCAATTGCTAGCACAATTAGAGCTCTAAGAATGTTTAAACATTCGTTTTTTCACAATTTTATATTTTAATTCCACGTGTCTTCATTAAAATTAGCATAAACTAATAAAATTAAATTGATATCTATTAAAAAATCCATAAACCCTTGCAGTCTATACCAAACCGTTTAAATGGACTCGTTACATCCTCAAAAACATGCTAGAAGATTTTCTCATAAATTTTTCTAATAGCGAGAGATTAAATGGTAAAGATTGCTCTATAAATGCTTTAATATGAATTAGATATATAATTTTTTTTTTTATTTATTTCGCACACTTATTCCTCATACATTTACCCAACTACATACCGCATAAATATTACAATATTTAGTTTAACACAGGAAATTTATATTCATTCCCATGTGTATTTAAAATATACACAATATTGCTTAGAGAATTTAAGTGTGATACTTAAGATTCAGCCTTGATATGGAAAAGAATATTAGGTATACACCAAAAACTAATCAATAATTTACTTTTCTACCCTCTTGAATTATTCATTTTTAAATTCATAGCTTCAATTTTTTTTGAAGACAAAGCAAAAGTTTTTTTTTAAAAATACAATTAATATTTTAAGAATCTGCTTTTATACAGCTTAAAGTCGTCATTGTTATTGTAAATCTTTTTTTTTCCATGTGGCATGCTTAATACTTGTGTTTTAGAAAACCATTCATTAGAATCGGTTTAAGTATTCATAGCTGTGTAGACAAACCAGCGAGTCTGTTGAATTAAAATAATAATAATATTAATGATAAGGGTGGTATAAAGGCACAAAGACACAATTAGAAAATTTGTAATGTAATTAAAATTGAATGTTCTTTTTTTTTCTAATACAGTCTTTGTATCACTGCTTTACAATATGAACAGAAATGTTTTGATGAATAATGTAAACATAAAAATTAATTGAATATGAACGACGATTTCTCGGAACTTAATTTGATATTCATCGAGATTTTTTTGAACGGATCTTAATTTTGTCACGAAAAAAACGAATTTTAAAAAATGAAAAAAATAACGGATTTTTTAAAAATTCAAAAAATAACGACTTATAAAAATCTAAATAATAATGATTTTTCAAAATTCAAACAATAACGACTTTTCAAAATTCAAAAAATAATAATGACATTTAAAAATTCAAAATATAACGGTTTTTTCAAAAAATTGTTGAATATCGAAACGAAGAATAGCAATTAGCCACAGATGAGAACAATAAAGCCTATGAGAGTACTGGACATGAGAGCATTAAGAAAACTGTCACAAGTGTCCTATATTTTATTATGCCATACCGTGATATCAAAAACGGAAACGGAATTAAGCTCTTTATAATTATCATAGTAT